TGACAGTAACTATTATGCAACAAAAAACAGAGCAGCAAAAAAATTTACATGCTAATGATGTATTTGATTCAGGCACAAAAAAGAGAAACAAATTAATGGACAATAACATGTTGTTGGAGACATTTATATAGATGAGTGAAGTATCTGAAAATGTTTTGAAAGAGCGGATAATTTAAGTAATGGAACTTGAGCGTTGGAGAAGGGAAGGTGGTTACACTGATCGAGGGAGGTTGAGCAGCAACTATAGGCCTGTTATAGTGATCGAGGGAGGTTGAAGAGAAACTATACGTTTCTGAAGAATTAAATTAGGGCTGACAGCAAATTTATTTTTTAATAAATTAATATTTAACTAATATTTTTAATAAATTAATATTTAAGTAATACTGTAGGGTTAAAACGGTAAATCAACTTGGGTTAGGAGCTTCCTACTTATAATAATAATAATAATATATATATATATATATATATATATATATATATATATATATATATATATATATATATATATATGTGTGTGTGTGTGTGTGTGTGTGATGATAAGTGAGAAATGGGCTTCTGGTGGACTTAGAACACAATAAGTTCTCAATTTCTCATCTTTTTATTCTCATACTCAAATAAGTTCAAGCAACTTAAATGCACACTTATTTTAGGCGAATTTAAAGGAAAAATAATTGATGGAGTGATACTTAATGAACAAGCTAAGTTTAAATCTATTATCAAAAGGAAAATGACCATTTTTTGGAAAAAATTATGTAGAATATTTTTTGGGGTACAATAAGGAAATATTTTCAGAATACAGAGAAAAACATAAAAATGTGATCTTCTCAAATTTTCACAACACAAATGAAATTTGAAGTTCAAGCAACAACTTAAATGCACACTCAATTTAGGCGAATTTAAAGGAAAATAAATGATCAAGTAATACTTAGAGAAAAAGCTATGTTTAAATCTATTACCAAAAAGAAAATGACCAATTTTTGGGAAAAGAATTATATAAAATATCTTTCGAGGGACGATAAGGAAATATTATCATAACACAGAGAAAAAACATCAAATACTTTGTTGTCTTCTTAAATTTCTACAATACAAATGGAATCTGAAGCCTTCAATCTACACCCAAAGTGGAGCAAACACACTAGCCATGCTCCATTTTCTACTTCTTCCATTCAAGATTCAAACTTTAAATCCAATGATCTTGCTAGTAGAGCTCATCACTGAATTCTCCCTCTTGAAATTCAAGTTTGTATCAAATTCTGACTTCATTTAATCTTTAATCCTGAATTTGTCAAGATCTATCTCCATCGATTTGCTATAATAACAAGTGATTCACCTAAAAACATTAATCTTAAGGACTGTTCCATTCTTTATTTTATGACCATGTTACTAGGACAATTGACTTGGATTATCATGCAAAAATATCCTATGAATCTATTAAGTTGGTGGGTTCCTTCAATGAGTTGATATGTGTTGCCATTGAGGAAAATACATGTTTCTCTGGAATCCGCCAATTAAGAAGCTTAACATTGTCTAGTTCTGAAACCAATATCTTTTACATGTATGATTTTGGATACGATGAACTTCACAATGATTATAAGGCAATGGTAATCTACAAAAATGTGGGTGATTACAATTCACACTACAATGTGGGCAAAATATATATGTAGTTTGAATAATAATTCTTGAAAACATTTGAATGATTTACAAAATGTGATTCAAATCTATAAATTGGGTATGCTTGTGAATGGGAAGCTTTATTGGGCTATTAATAATAAGCTTTTTGGTTATTATTATGATTGGGTTTTCCTTGTTGTTGACTTGGCTGATGGGAGATGGAAAAAAATGGAGAATCCTTGCTATGGAGAAGTAATGTATTATTTTTCGCCGTACCTCGGTTAGTTAGGAACTGATCATTTTGTCAGTCTACCTTGACTCTAGTATATGTGTGGGTTATGAATGTATATGGGTTTAAAGAGTTTTGAACAAAGATGTTTAACATAATGTACACGGGGTATCATTCATTTGGTACACCCTTTTGCATGTCAAGTGAAGGTGAATTTTTGTTTGAGAACATATTATTTTTCATGATTTATAATCCAAATAATGACTCAAAGAGATTTCCAAGAACTCCAACTATGATTACCTTGTTGAGGCAAAGCTCTACGTTGAAAGCTTTGTTTGGCCCTTTTGCGAAACGTATCAGGAATGCAACAACATCAAAGACAACAAAAGCTCAGATGAAGACGATTAATGTGTGCTGAATAATTAGAAAGAGTTCTCTATACCATTTTCTCAACAACTATTAAATTTTGTTTCTTTTCTCAAATATAAAACAACAAGACATTGCATATTAGGGACATTAACCTTATCTGCTTCATGAAACAATTTCCTAAGAACAATAATTTTGGCTTAGGTGCTTGGTGTCTTCATCGTCAAATTATTTATATTCTTGAGAAGTATTTTAAGGGGCATGCCATGCCTCTAGATATAGTAAGAACAGAGAGCACAAGGAACGTGGATATCATGGCAGGTGAATTTGCTAATAACACCTAGGCATAGACCATGATAGGGTTATTGTTTGATACAGTGCACTTCTTCAATAATAATTTAGTAGGGGAAAAGGAGGAACCACAACTATTATGGAACAATGGTTAAGGTCTAACATATTATCTATAATTTTGGTACTTTTCCTTGCTGGTAATAGATAATTTCTTATTTTGTCCGTACGAAATTTAGTGATTTTCAGGTTGGTAATAGCTAACCAAATATTTCCTTTAGGACATCTTCCCTTTGTTTTACTTATCTGGTCAACCAAAGGCTGAATTGTCTTTCACTTTGTCAATAATGTTGACATAACCAATGGCTCCTTGCAAGGATAGAACATTTCTTGAAGCAAATTAAGTTACTTTGATCTTAAGCGGGGTATGGGGTAAAAATATGAATTCTTAGGAGATAGATAATGGGGAAAATTTTTCTTAAGAGTAGCCATGTCGCAAATGTCGCTGGTAGGGAAATAGATCTCATCTTTTTACTTAAACAAGGCTTACGATTTCTAATGAAATTGATTTTTGCAGACTTTTGTTCTTGATAAAGTAAATAGTGTTTTCTTAACTGTTATGTACACTTTCAGGAAATGCTGATGTTTGAAACAATGAATCCACTCCTAGCTGATTGCACGGGTTGAAATGAAGAAGGATAGACTTTCTTTGGTTTTACTATTCGTTGTAATGTGGTGATGTTATTTCCTTGTGTGTAGAACAAGATTTAAGTTGATTGCATATCACATTTTGTTGGTACCTTTTGAAGTTGGTTGATATAAATTTATGTCAACTGAAAATTTCCATTACAAGACCTGAAATACTTATTTATGAGCTATTCAATGTTCATAATTTTAGAGCAACTAAATGATTAGAAAACCAATGTTATCTGATTCTTGAAATGAGAAAACTTTTTCTCTTGATGGGTTTAAAAAAAAAACTGTTCACTATTTTCGCTCGAATAACTTTTATTAGCACAAGGAGATCATATTTTTGTAACGTATTCTCATTGCGTAAACTAATTGTCACATAATATTAGAAAGTACTATGTTTCACATAGTTGCATTGGGCTACTCTGTATTGTGCGTTTTCAGAAAATGATTGTCACTTATTAATGCATTCTAGCAGCTATTTATTACTCAAATCTTTCCTCTTGGGCATTCATGATCTTCAGTTCATGAAACAATTTATTGATATGTTATGTATGCAATGACTGGATTTAATATGTGGACAAGTGATTTTAATGATGAAACTGTTTTATTTCAAGAACAAAATCTGAATTTAAATTAGGGAACAAGCTCAAATATGTCATTGAACTTTGAGAAAAGGCTTATTTATGTCATCCGTTAAAAGTTTGGCTCATCTATGTCATTGCCGTTTGAAAAAAGGCTCATCCATGCCAATATTTTTTAACTCCGATTTTGCAAAATACTTTTTACCTCAAACAAAACCCAAACAACTATTAACACTTTTCAATTGGGATTTTCGATCAAATGTGCTCTTTTTGCTTCTTCTTTCTCAAGAACTCATTAAAAAAAACTCCCAAATTTTCAACTTCTTTAATTTTTCATGAATTCACCTCAAAGTTCAGCCATATCATTTGAGTTCTTGAGGAAGAAGAAGAAAAAATAGTACATTTGAACCAAAATCACAATTGAAAAGTGTTACGTGTTGTTTGTGTTAGAGTATTGCTCTTATTTTCTTACCTTATTTGAATTTAATTTTTCTTTTGAAGGAAAGTCAAAACATTACCATAATTATTTTTACTTTGTTTTTAAATTATATAATTCTCTTCCATATTTGGTTTATTCTTTCCTTAGAGGAAAATTTTGGAACTCTATAAATTGAAGACCCCTCTTCTCGTACCAGACCAAATAATAGAATTCACGATGTAGTCATTTAAAAAAAATTGTTTATGGGGAGATTATTCTCCCAATAAAGTTTCTTTTTTTGTATATTAGTTTTGATATATAGGTCAATTGGCCAAATCATATAATAATATTATATTTTGAGTATAAATTTTTGTCATCTAATTATCACAAAGACCGTTTGCAATTGTAAGCTTCCGCATGAAGCCTTGATTTCTTTAGAACCGAACAACTTGGGGTCTTTGTTGAGGTAAAAAATAATTTTGCAAAATCGGAATTAAAAAAATAATGGCATGAATGAGCCTTTTCTCAAACGACAATTATAAAGCTACTAGACTGAAAACTTTAACAGAGACTTGATTTTTCTTGAACACTACCTAAATTATAAATAAGAGGCGCTTTAAAAGAGAGATCATGCGTCCACACATACTTTTAACCACAATGACAATGCATGCAAGAAAATTAGGTTCCAAAAGTCTTAATTAAAACTAAAAATAGTTGAAAGCACATACGCTTTTCAAGTAGAATCATAAAATCACACAGTTGAAAATTCTTCAAGCAAAGTACTTCAAAATGATCAAATTAAAACAAAGCATGTTTATTTTAAAGGAGCTCTGTGAGGAATTCCCTTCCTCTTGCGCTTCCGCTTCATCTCAGCAATCTTTCCCCATTTTGCTTCCACCTACAAATTCCATCATAACATATGTTATTCGCAAAAATATTTATGTGTATTGACAGTATAAATATATAATAATATCCTATCTGTCTCAATTTAAGTGTCTCGTTACTTTTTTTTTGATGCGTCTCAAAAAGAGGGGGTTTCCCCTATATTTGGTGTAAAGAACTCAAATCCAATATAACAATAACCACTTCTCAACTATATTGCTAAGACTAAAGTTCAATTACAATTCATAAAAGTAAACATAACAACTGAAACAGTAAAAACCCCAAATAAACATATAGAAATATCGAAAGTAAGATTAGAGATTGATTGGAGGAAGAAGGGAGATGAGAAAATACAGACACTTCAGAAGGGAGATGAGGAGAACTAAACTTTCACATAACAATAAGCCTAACCTATCTTTCCAACTTCTCTTCCTTTTAGACTAGTTGCTATTTCGGCATGGATCTCAAATCAACCTTCGTGAAGGTCTTTTGATATTATTACTTCTTCTTGACCCAATAACTGATTCCGTGACATCAAAATCCACGCGGGACTGGTGTTCACTACAAGAAAACTGTGAATTACATGGGGATTTTCTTGGAGATTAGTATGAAAATTCGCAGAAAACTTATTTTCTTGTAAATTTTCATACTAATTCCCAGGAAAATCCCCATGTGATTCACAGCTTTCTTGTAGTGGTTGATTCATAACATTTAGTACTTCCTTTGTTCCAATTTATGTGACACACTTTCGTTTTTTATCAATTTTAATAATGATATAATTCTATATTTACAAACAATTTAGTGTTAAAATACTCATTTACCTTTAATGAGAGATTTTTAGCAACACAAACATCTATGAATTGTTTTGGACCATAAATTTCAAGTCTTTCTTTCTTTCTTAAAATTCACGTCAAGTCAAATAATATCACATAAATTGTGACGGAGGGAGTACGTTTTTTCAATTTCAACATTCTATTCTCTAGGATTATACAACAACAATATATCTAGTGAAATCTAACAAATGAGGTCTGGAGAGAGTAGACTGTACTCAAACCTTACCACTACCTCGTGGAAGTAAAGAGACTGTTTTCGATCAAGCATAATTTCCAGAATTCAATTTCAAAAAAATATTAAAAAATAAAATAAAAATCATCGCCAAACAACCACTTAATTTGAAATGGAGAAAGTGATATGTACCTGGCAAGCAATGGAACAAAATTGAAACTGTTCAGGGTCATGCAATCTCCTTTTGCAAGTGAGACAAGTAGGATCTCCAGCAATTAAAGAGCCAGACCCACAATGTGGCAGAGGATTCAAAGCAATTACCCATTTCTTGTTGCATTTGTATGGCTGCACATAGCAAATTATATATATATCTCATCACTAACATATATATGCTAATAATGTAAAAGAGAAAAAAAAAAAAAAATCTTTGTTAGGCTTTGTGAAGCTTAACTTCAAATGAAAATGTTTAAAGTTATATATGACTAAAGTTCAGATATTTTTGCATGAAGTTAATACATAAATAGCTGAACTTCATTGATAAGTGCATGAACTTCAGACAAACACAAAAAAAATCAACCATATGTTTCTTAATTAGTTCTAACATAAAAGATTAAACTTTAGCCATTTTGTTCAAGCTCAACTTCACCAAATGGGTAGACGTGCAAATTTTTACCCACAATATGACTTAATTAGTGGGTCCAAACGGAGAAGGCTCAAGGATAGAGCCTAGTAAAACACTTGATTTTAGACAAAGGCCCCCAAAAAATTTATAGTGATTGTATGAATTTATTGTCACTTAAAAGAGAAGATTATAATAAAAAGTACAAATTTTATATTTGTATTTATAAAAAAGTATCTACTTTTTATCATAAGTATTTTGTAACTTTGAATTAAAAATCTCATTTTTATATTAATAAAAATAATGTTTTTACAATAACATTCAAAATAATACCGTATAAACAAATGACTAACATCTCATCAACTAATATTTAATTGTCACTCAAATGTTCAAATAAATTAATGTCCAGAGCATCAATTCATAATCAATATAATCTCTTTTCATTTCTAGTTGTAACGGTCTATATCAATTTAAATTTACCTGAATTAATTTGCAGTCAATATACTTCTCCATCTGCTGAAGAGGAACAACGTCTTTGTAAACATGTCGATAAATCTTTAGCTGGTCATGATCGTTGTGTTTGTTTGTAGAGATGCAATGCCTGCATAAATCTGAATCACATGTGATACAATACTTGTTCAGTTCACTCTTTTGAAGTTCACCATGCACCGAACATGTCCCAAAGAATGTCTTCTTCAACAATGGCCCTAGCCATGTTGGCATCTTCCCGCTAGGTTGCAATTTTCCCTACAAGTATAATCATTATAATAATAGATTGTGATATTTTCGATTGAATTGGAAAAAGTTTTTCTCACTTTTTAAAATATAGTAATCTTACTAGAAGTAATATTATCATCAAATATACATAGTTAAGAAGATAATAAATACTTATCAAGCTAATTATCTCCTGAAACAATCTTTCTCATTATTTGAACACTAAATTTACTTGAAACGATATTGTCATCAAATATACATATATCAAAAGAATTATGAAGAAATAAAATATTTATCTATTAAGTATATCATCCAACAATTTTTTGATGAAGGTTAATGATTAGGAATGAACCAAATCCAATCAATTTATTAGTTTAGAGTTTAAGCTTTAGGAGAAACTAAAACTTCACTTCTTTCTAGTTGACTAAGTTCTAAGAACATCTACTTAAATTTTATGTATAATCAGAAATGTATATTAAGATTTTCTTGACCTTTCCGCGAGGTTTTCTTATGGTAATGATTGACTGATGAAAACTCAGTGTAACACAAAGAGAAACATTTCCATAAAATTCTGAGTTAATGACAGTATCCATGTCAATAATTAGAAAAAAAAAAACAAAAAACACGAACCAAATCATATATATTTTTTGGTCCACTTTCTCCATGATATGTTGTATGTGCGACTTAAGAGGTTGATATGCAGACTAAATTATCTCGAGAATATAATTTTAATTATGATTCATGAACTAATTTATCCCATATGAGAGGTGGGATAAAATAATTCCAAATTTGATAGGATAAGGTGGGCTATCTAGGAGAGGCTGCTACGAGAGCAGTGGACCCTAAACCCTAGCAGCCGCCATGTCTGCACACATCTCTCCCCGGCCTTTGGTTGTGGGAGAGACAAACCCTAATCCTAATCAACAAAGATCCTTTGCTACTCGATTAACCACAAATCAAGCTGCCCAAATTTTGAAAAAAATCCAGTTGAAACAGATTCAATATGTACATGGAGAGCCTAAGATTCAATTCACAAAGGGAGAACGACAAGCTTTCACACAGGAAGAAGGATTACATCAAGATGTAATTATTAAGTTCTCATCCGATACACTAGAAGTGAAGGATTAGCGAACAGTTTTACCTAAACACTTGGGCATCAAAGGAAACTGTTTAGTTAGTTTACTTGCTCGTAGACATATTCTGCTAAGGATAGACCAATATGAAGATTATGTGGTTGCTCTATCAAAATCGATAAGCTTTTTGCCTTTGCATGGAGAGCAACATCTTTATAGGGTATTTCCTTGGACAATAGTTTTCAATTCAAGAGAAGAAACTTCAATGGACGCGGTGTGGATTTTGTTGCCTTGATTATCACCACACATTTATTTGCCAAGAGATCCTTTGTCGATGGCATCAGTGGTTGGAAGGCCAATAGCTACCGACAAGGCAACACAAGACAAGACAATGCCTATGGTGAAGGTGATACTCGATCTTATGGACAAGCTTCCTAAGAGGATGCGTCTCCAGTATTTGGACGAGCAGACCAATAAGATTCAAGAGGTTTTTCAGGAATTTGTTTATGATAATTTACCTTTATATTGTAACCACTGTAAGCATCAAGGTCACGATGAAAATTGTTGTCGATTGATTTTGAAAAAGAATCAAGATAACGATCACAAAGATAATGGAGTGGTTGGAGATGAACAATTCAATGGTGAGAAATTTCAAGGTGATTTGCGACAAATTTTAAATGAGAAGAGGGGACTAGCAAACATAGATCAAAGTATTAATGATAATACTCGAGTTGCAGATGCAAATAATAATGAAATAGCAATGGTGGAAGCCATTAAAAATAATGGAGATCGAGTTGTAGATACTTGTGTTAGAGATGATACTCTTATTACTACAGTTACACTAAATTACACCTTAGCTACGGTCTCGCAGACTTTACTTTTGAGTGCAAAGGATGGTGTTACTGTGATTCAGTGGTTCCTGTGATTAATTTGGAGTCTAATCTAGTTTCAAATCCTAAACTACCTACTACTGGTGTTTTATCTGGGAAAGATCCTATTTTGGTCACGATTGAAGATTCTGGCCAAGCTAATAAGGTGCAGCAGTGTGAAGATAATTTGGATCGAATTTTCGAATTTGGTGGTACATGTGATCATGACTTCACTTTGAAGGATAAGGGATGATGGACTGAAGTACCAATCAAAATGTTTACTCCAGGTAACACCAAACTTCAACAACTAGATTGCACTAACCCAACACGTAAGGATCAAACGATAAATTGTGAAGATAAAGTATCAAGGAAGGTTGTGTGCTCTAACACCTTTGATGCCTTAAAGATCAGTTCTGATCAAGAGCTCCATGCATTGTCCACTCCAATTCTTCAAGTTTCTAATCCAGAAACTACTAGAATAATCAAGGAGTCACATGCCGCAATGTTGAATAAAGAAAACTCAATGGTCAAACCACATATGGCAACAATCAACACCTAAAATCATGATGTTCCTAATTCTCCATCATTGGAGTCGCTTGGAGAGCAAATATTTGGACAATAGTCAATCTCCAAAAGGAATGACGAGAGTTTGGGGAAGGAAACAAGTGATTCTAGATGGGCAGATTTAGTTGAGGAAGAAAAACATATTTCTGCACCTGCAAGGAGTAATTTAAGTCCTCAAGCACCCATATTTGTGCCTTCAAGTAAGGCAAATTCATCTATGGCAGTGACAATTGATAACTCCAAAAAGATCTTGACCATTACCACCAAGGTATTGAAAAAAAGCCATGAGCCAGAAGCTGGAGTTTCAAGACTTAGTCCAACTACAACTTATGATAGTGACTTGGGCAGTGAAAAGTTTGATGAGAATGATATGCTAGATATATTATTTGATAAGGTAGCCAATGATAGAGATCTCTCGCCTAGGAAACAAAGAAGTGGAAGCAACAAAAACAAAAAGAAGACACATGAAAGGCAACATAGTTGGGATGGTCAGGTGACTAAGGAATTTATTCCAAGGCACCTACCAATGCGACTGACAAAGCAAAATCATATGACAGTTTCAACAACCACATGAACCAATAAATCCAAAAAGAAGTGATGAACTATCAAGTTTTGTTGGACATATTTGACAAAGAAGACAAGAGGTAAATATTTCAGGTTACTTTACACGGGCAATCCATCTCTTTTAGTTCTTACATATATAAAATGAAGTTTGAGGTTGATAACTCAACTTTATTCTTACATTTTGTATTTTTGAATTACTTAAGAATCCTCGTTTGTAGTATCATCACAGAGTGTATTATAAACTCTATGATGAAATCATAGAATATCTAATTTTCTCTAGCTCTTATTTTCTTCATGCTTGTTAATTAGTAGAGGTTCTTTACCTCATTAAGATTAGTAAGGTAAGACCTAGCCCTCCTTGCTTGTACTTTTCTCTTTGAGATATTTTTTCTCTTTATTAATAAAACTAGCCCTAGGCACACATTGCCTAGCGAATTTGCTTTAAAAAAAAAGGTGGGATATCTAGGATTTAGTGTGGAATTAGATCAACATCGTCAACAAAATACATAATAATCTAATCTCAAACTTAAGCGTGAGATATTTCATCTTATCTTGCACACCAAACAATCCTAGTACTCATGACATTTGTTTAAACCTCATTCCTTATCTTTCCATCACAGAGAGAAACTACATCACCTACTATGAGCTTTTGTCACAGTTTTTTCTTTTTAGAGAGACATCTAGTACATTCGAAACACACTAATCTAGATTTGGATCACATAGATTCCATTAAGGGGAAAATGTTCCTTAACAGGCTTTCTCCATTTACAAGGTACAAATGAGATATTGGTTAAGAATGAAGGAATTTCATTCATCTGATCATACCCCTTGATGTCAGCACACCAATAATAGAAGGGAGGAAAGTTGTGTAGAGCTAGGGTCAATCACCTCACAAAACCTAAAACATGTGACCTTGGTTGAATAAATAATGATTATGAGACTCGAATAAAAATTTTATGACATGTGAGCTTGATTATTTTTATTTAGTCAAGCATATGAAAGTGTTCAATAAAGGAATAACTATGAGACTTGAGTAAACTTTTATCAACTTTAATTTTATATCAGAGAATTTGGACGGCTCATCAAGTCTTTTTTGCCACACCTCCCTAATAGGAATAAGAGTAATTTACAAATAGGGCTAATAAATTCGCCAATCGAAATATTAGGAAACAATATTTTGAATTTCTTCATTCGAAGTAAATTCTTCCAATTAAAAATATTAAGATAGAGGAGTACCCTTGACCACGATAAATCTCTTACAAAGTATATTTCAATAGGCTTATTGAAGGGTCCTATTGACATGCCTTCAATAGAAATCAAACCTACTAATCCATCAATTATAAGTCAGGTATCTTCACATAACTGACATAGACTAGTATTTTTTTCTTACGTCCCACTTAGTACATGTAATAAAGTCTAGAGTTTACATGTGAATCAAATTTTATTTTACTTCATCTTTTTATATTAATTTGTCAAGAAGATGATATATTTATAGGTTGAAAAGAGGGTCGAAGCAAAAACAAAGACTCTAACATACTAGGAAGTTGGTTTGTAGCAAATAGGATGTTGGCTTGACATGGTTAGGAGTGTTGTTGAAGTATAACTAGTGGCTCAAAGTACATAGCCTGAATTAAGAGAGAGAAGCTCGGATCAAGTCCATGAACCAAGTTGAATGAAAGAACTAAACAAGGACATCAAAAATAGGGTTTAACAGGATGATTAAGGGTAAAATGATCATTTCATTCTATGTTGTGAAAATGCTTCCTTTCTAACGTGAAAAGAAGTAGAATGAACAACTAGAATACAAAATCGTTGAAAGTTCTTCATATTCTAGATTCCATTAGAGAAAAAAATATGTACATAACGTCAAAGTAGATTATAGTTAAAAGTATAAAACCATTACATGTTTAATTTTATGATATAAACAAGTCGTTAAAGCACACGATGACTCTCGCCTCCCTTATAACATGACAAGAAAATGAGACATTCTATCCTTTTACACATTAATACTTGCCTAAAAATTGTTATTTCTTTTTCTTGCCAAAATTAATGGGATGACATAATTAGTGAATATCATTTCAAGAATTGTTACGATATATTGGTAAAAGAAAATTTGGGGTTGATGACTCAATTTTCTTTTTGTCTTTTACAATTTTGCACTACTTAAGCATATCATCATAAAGTGCAATAAACAAATGTGTAATCATAGTACACCTAGTGCTCTCTAACTTTTATTTTATTCATGCTTGCTAATAATTAGTGGAGGTTTATTATCTTATTAGGATAGGTAAATAAGGTCTAGTTTCTCCTGCTTATACTTATCCTAACTAAGAATGTTTTAATTTTATTTTATTAATTAAAAAACCACTAGACATGTGGTATAAAATCGTCAAAAAAATCTTTTATTTTGTAAAGACATGTATACATATCTAACATGAAAGAGTTATCAAGAAAAGACTTTGAATTATAAAATCAAGAGTAAATTACATCACTCAATTATACCCTCTAATTAGTAGAAATTCTTGACTGATTAAAAATCGTGCTATTGAAATAAATTCAAAATAACTGTAAAAAGTAATTCTCTCATAAAATTAGTTAGGAAAACTTCCTATTTATTATCATTTCTAAATGTCACAGAGATCAATTGTTTAAAACAAGATGATGTAATTAATTAAGTTCAAATTTATTTTATTAATTAATTTTTATGAAAATCAGTCATAACTCATAACACAACTTCACATAGTAGATCCAAATTCAATTTCTTGAAAATTCGTTATCTTTTATACAAATCAATTAAGAGGCTATCAAACATATAGTCTCACAGAATACCATAGAAATAAACAAAGGATTTTTTTTTATCAACAATCAAATTAGTAACGCTACACATGAAATTTTATCAACAATCAAAGGAAAAATTTATTTTTTGTATTTCCTTTGAAATACAAATGCATAAACAAAATGGTACGAATTAAATCTCACACAAATACATAGAAATAAACAATCAATTTTGAATGAATTAAAATCCAATTATAAGATATCTAACTCTAGAATATTAAAACTAACAAACAAAAAAAAATTGAAAATTAGTAATGCTACACATATATACGTATGTACCTGCTCATTTGTTTCAAAAGGTGATGAATTAGAGCTATTCATTTTTTTTTCTTCCATTTTTCTCCTCTCTAGAGTGTATCAATTTTCTGAAAATGGTATTTGAAGAAGCCACATAAAACTATTAGTAGGATTTTATTGCCAATGTATTGTTCCCTTGAAGTGTACTTAATTGGCAAGACAACAATTGAAGTAATAAAGACAATTATTTTAGTCAATTTTTTTTTTGTTTAAAACATAAAGACAAATGGCCCCCAGTTTTCTAACTGTCTATTATATTTCAAGAGACAATGGAGATATGTTCGATGAGGAAATGTGGAACACTTCTTCCAATTGTACCCTTAAGATAAGAAGTGATGGATCCAAGGAAGATTTTTGAATCGATAGAGTTTTTGAGATCGAATTATATGTATTTATGGACAATATTGTCATTTCATTTTGCTTGCCAAATAGTGTGAACACACAAATATTTTGTAAATCTATGAATTTTTTCCCTTGTCTATTCCAGTCCTCCATTTTAAGTTTTTTTCCCGAAACAATCCTATATGTGAAGTCAAACTTTCTCACTTAAAGTTTCTCCAAGTAAGGGGTTTGTACACATCTATGATTTTACCATGTATGAGTAAATTTGAAATCAAGGCAAATTATTAATTGTGTGTGTTAATTTTGATTTTTACTTAAAAAGGAAAGAAAATAAAAGGAAGAGGTAATTCATTTGATTCTATCTTTACATGTCAAGCTTGTTAATGATTCAACAATATTGTCTTGAGATACATCTCATAATTCAAGTATGTGATAACTGGTCACCGAATCCATTAATAATTTTTTAGGTTGAAACTTGTTGATGTGTCAATAAAGTCGCATAATGTAAACTAACAAGAAAATATTACGTATAAAATATAGAAATATGGTTAATCATGTAAGATCTTCGAAAATTTTATGCATATTTTGGTCATAATTGAAATATATATATCACATTAAAAGGTGTTTTGGCTGACTTATCCCAATATATATATCTCAAATATTTTTGTGAAAAAGATTAGAAACCAAATTGAAAAATCTTAAAGTTTAAGAGGACAAAAAGGATAAGAAATCCATTTTTTTTATCAACTTGGGACTAGTCTCTTCCTTTGATACTATTAACACCTCTAATGGAGGTTTCTGATACTCTAATCTAAGAAGAAGATCAATAATACAGAAAGTAAAAATGTGTATTGAATTGAATATGCTCAACTGAGCATTACATGTACATATATACATCTCTCGCACATAGCTTAACAGAAAAGGATCAGTTATAACTAACTTGATTCCCTAACTAACTATACTGCCACATCATCTAATCTCTAACTAATTGTTGTGTCTTCAATACTCCCCCTCAAGCTGTATGGTGCAAATAGATTGTACACACCAAGCTTGGACAGTAAAAAAACCATGTTGAGTCCTTCCTAACCCTTTGGTTAATACATCTACTAGCTGCATTTTAGATGATACATGACTTGTTGAATGACACCCTCTTGTATCCTTTCTCGAATGAAATGACGTTCAATTTCTATATGTTGTGTCCTTTCCTGGTATATAGGATTAGCAGCAATTTGCAATGCTGCCTTACTATCACAAAATAATTTGACTGGCAACTCCAACTCCACTTTTAATTCTTTGTACAAGCCTATCAACCAAACAATTTCTGCCACAGCATTAGCCATGCTCCTGTATTCTGCTTCAGTTGAGCTCCTTGAAACTGTATTTTGTTTCTTTGATTTCCATGAAATCAAAGAGTCTCCAATCTTCACCAAAAAGAGAGTTAAAGAATTCAGAATCATTATCACTTCTGAATATATACTTTGATATGACTATCAAACTGTCTGTGTATTAGATTGAGAAAATTCTTCAGTACAATGGAAACATCACTTTTCAATTTGAGGAATATCCAGACCATCCTACTACAATCATCTACTAATGTAAGAAAATATCTTCTATATGGACCCCAAACATCACCATGTATCAAGTCAACACACTATTACATCTACTAGTGCTTTGAGGAAAAGGTAATCTAGTCTGTTTTGCCAAAGGACAAATACTACAAGAAGGCTGTTTTGAAGTAGCTGAAGCATGTGCTAAGTGCATTTGTTGAAGAATTCTATGAGAAATGTGTCCTAATCTTCTATGCCACAAATCTGCAGTGTCCATCATACTTAGAGCAGTTGAGGGGGCAGCCGCAGGACCAACATTGTGTGACCAGTAGTATAATCCATTCTCCAAATTACCAGTCCCCTTCACCTCCCCAGTGTGAAGGTCCTGCAACATACAATGGCCAGGATAAAACACCATACAACACTGAAGATCTTTGGTTAGTTGATCAAGCTTAGACTTCCTAATAAAAGGAATAGGTATTTGCTGACCATTAGGTAAATAAACCTTTTCAGACTCAGATGGGGAAGGATTTTGAGTCTCATAAAGAAATTTGTGAGTAGATACCATATGGTTTGTATCCGCTGTGTCAACTATCCACCTAGAACCAGGTGAATTATGTACTACAGAGCAATTAATGATACATGTAACATCTGGAGACCGAGATCCATGTGGAACAAGATGACTTCCTCTTGTAAAAGCCATATTTATTCCTCATCCTCCATGACTATGAATACTTGCATTTCCATATCTAAGAGAGTAATTGTCCACAACAGCTTGACTGTAACCATCAGATCCCTGAGGTGCAGAAGGAAAAAAACCAAGAAACCATCAGATCCTCCAACCTGCTTACAGATCTCACCTGCATTATAATTCTGAGGAAAGGTAAATTTCCATAAGAAGGAGCAATTATATGCCTTGCACTATGAACACCATATTCAGAATTAAGTAATTGAGAACTCTGAGAAGGAACACATGTATTGTACTGCACATTGCATCTTTTTTTTTTCTTTTAAACCATGGAGGATATCCTATAAGCTGATAACAATCACCCTTCACATGACCTTTCGACTTACAATGATCACAAAATGCATTAGGATTCTTGTATCTAGGTTTTAGAGATTGCTTAGCAGACAAAAAGGTTGTGACATCATTCCTTTAGTTACAGTTTTCATCCCCATAGTACTGTGATCCACATATTTCTCACTTTCCTCCTCTGTTATCATCGCATATGCCTGATTAAGAGTTGGTCAGTAGTCATCATAAGGATCTGTTTCCTCGCTTGAGAATGTGATTCATTCAGTCCTCCAAGGAATTGAATCAGTCGTTATTGTCGCAAATGCTTAACATAATCCTTTGATTTTGGGCATTCACAACTCGGAAAGACCACCATTGTCTCATACTCTGCCCACAACTCCTTCAATTTTGTGAAATAGACCGAAACAATATCAGTCCCTTATGCAATCGTAGCTATCTCCCTATGTAATTGGTAGATCCTTACACGATTAACCTTATTAAATTGTTCTTGCAGATCCTCCCAAACAAGAGATGCATCAGACGCGTACACAATACCACTCAAGAGACTAGGAGCTACAGTGTTCATGAGCCAAGATAAAGCAATTGCATTACAAGTATCCCACTGATCATGATACTTAGCCTCGAAGCTTGCCTTCTTGCAAGTTCCTATCACAAATCCTAACTTTCATTTCACTTGCAAAGCAATTCTCATCGATCTTCGCCATAATCCATAATTCTATGTCCCTGTCAACTTAACAGGACAAAGTACAGATCCTGGAGCATCAGATGGGTGCAAGTATAGATGATGAGTGTAGTGAATAACAAGCTTCGTCGCTATTGTTATCGATTCAGTCACCTGCTCTGATACCATATTAACACCTCTAATGGAGGTTTCTGATACTCTAATCTAAGAAGAAGATCAATAATACAGAAAGTAAAAATGTGTATTAAATTGAATAAGCTCAACTGAGCATTACATGCACATATATACATCTCTCTCACATAGCGTAACAGAAAAGGATCAGCTATAACTAACTTGATTCCCTAACTAACTATACTGCCACACCATCTAATCTCTAACTAATTGTTGTGTCATCTAATCTCTAACTAACTGTTGTGTCTTCAATAGATACTAAAATATATGAAGTGTCATGAAACATAAATGTGTTGTGAAGATATAAACAAATAGTTGAAATGAGCAGATTTACCAAACTACCATTAGAGATATTGTAAGTGTAAGCGTCTTAATAAACTTTTTATTACTCTATATTTCTTGTTTATGGCTCGTTTGGTGGAAGGTTATGCACCCTTTGCTACTCAATTGTAATCCTTGGTGCCCTTCGAGCTACATGTAGGTATTAGTCCAAGGGTTAATTCAGTTCTTTTAGAATTCTTTTAATCAAACTCGAAGAGCTTTTTGAGAGAGATCGCTTTAATCATTCCTAATAAGATTAGACAAATCTGAATTAGTAGGCTTTGGATGATTAATAAAAAAAAAAAAGTTAACAATTTTAGCTTAACCCAACTATTGGGCTGGTTGGGTCCAAATTGGTCCATTAAAAGGTCAACCTTAATGGTCCTGATTCTAGGCCAGACTGGGTTACCCTTAGGTCTGATTTAGGGGTTGGGGTTTTGAGAGAAAATACTAGCTGGCTCAACCCTTGCCTCTTAAGGGGTTAGTCGGGTTTAACGGGTCAAATATTCGTTTTCATACTATATTGTAACTTTGTATTAATATTTGGAATTATTGAACTTTGTACTTGGTAAGAGGACATAAATTATGAATAAAAACTCAAAGGGTTAATGAGCTTTCAATTTTCTTTCTTGATAATTTTTTTTTATATAAAATTTAGAGCAAGATTTACTACTTGTATGAAAAAAATTGAAGAAGAAGAAGAGAAAATTCAAAATTTAAAGTATCACCAAAAACTACATTATATTCTTCTCTACCTCTTTCGATACAGTGTCTTTATCAACCATCGATCTTATATTTGTAGGTTTTAATACAAAATTAACATTTAACTCTACTGTATCATCTATTTGATCATATAATAATCTCACTCCATTTTTCTTCATTTTCAAGGGCTAAGCACATGAGGATGCTGGACACAGACTGCTTA